CTGCGGAGCTTCCTTGTATTCTTCCAAGGAGTGGCGCTCTTCCCTGCTTTTATATACTTTTATTGAGGCCCCCAATAATGCACGGAGGGTCCCTTTTTAGGATCAAAAAGACAGGGTGCAAAAGAACATATAATACCTTCTTTTAAAAGGTGATGCTTTAAAAAGCTGCCTCAGTTCACACATTCCTGAGCCCTTGCCTCATGCAAGCACCAAGTCTTTGCGAATTTTGGAAGGCAGCCTTTCCAGAATGACTGATGAAGGTTATAATCCCCTTTTGTCCATAAAGCACACCAGTTGTACCTGAGTCAGGTCCTACCCCCCAGAGTTGTTGTGAGAATAAAATGGAGGATCAGGGAACAGCATATGCCACCTTGATTTCTGGCTATAAAGACAGAAGGATGAGGAATAAATTTTCTACAGATACCTTTTAAAATAAATATTATGGACTGGAATGATAATATATTAATGGCGCTGCTGATCCAACACTGTCTGAATTTTGCAATCCAGGAAAAATTAACATGTTACAGTCGATCAAGGAGAACAGACAGACACATTGAATGCTGATGTTTGATTTGCAGTGTTTTGGAACAGCAACAATCCAAAGAAAGCTTTACCATCTATTTTTCCCCTTTGCTCTTGAGCCTTTCTTGTTCTTTTGTCTATATACGTGGAAGGCACTGCCCTTTTTGTAATAAACACAATACAGAATGCATAGCAAAGAAGAAAACATTAATTAAAATTAAAATAAATTTTCTAAGAATCATGACAAGAGCAACAAGATTTTTAACCTGTGCGAAGGGAATATAAACCGCTCAGATCAAGTTGAAATAAAACAGCTCATCTGAAGAAAGGAAATCGCGCCGTTCGGAATATCGCAACCTCACCAGGGCTGGTGTCGAGAGAGAAAACCCTGGCAGGATGAGCTGACACTAGGGGGCTGTGTAGGACAGGAAAGTGGCAGGATAGCCCTTTTGCGGGGGGGGGGGATGCATCAGAATTGTGTTCCTGTGTGAAGCTATCCAATTGGCAACCCAAAACAGGATGCCAGCAGGAACGCAATTCTCAGTGTGCCAAAAGTGCATTCACAAACATGTGAACGATTGCAGCCGGACACACTTCCCAAAGTGTTCAAACGTGTGTGTGTATACACACTCGGTGCAAACTCATATCCCTCTTCCGAATCTGCACAGTCATGCTCTGAGGGAATTGTGCATCTGTGATAGGATGCAGAGATGCACTTTTGAAAATGCACATTTCTCTCTGATCGGGGGGGGGGGGCAGGGGGGATTTTTGCATTTGAGAACCCCAGTGAGGCAAACTGAGTTTGGAGAACTCGCAGAAACTCAACAAGGGCCGATGTGCCAAGCTCACCCAGCTGCACCTCCGAATCTCAGCCATTTCCAACATGTGGTTCACAATAGGTTTAATGATTTGTCCATAACAGCAATATATTAAAACAGACAGACACGCACCCGTGCTCACACACACGCACTCATGGAGCATTAGGAAACTTGTGATCCCTTCTGTTCCCATCGTTTGAAATTCCCTTAGTCAGATAACAGACCATTTACATGGATTTCAAAATAACTTTTGACTCTCCTGCTGGCACTGTGGCAAAGCGCAGCTGCCGCTTGCACTTGATTCCTTGCCAAAAACAAAATATAATGTTTGGGTTTTGTTTACAAATTAGCTCGGTACCCACTTTCTTTGAAAAGGGAGAAAATTGCATTGCAGCGAGTTGTTTTCTTGGGGTTTTTTATAGATACACTGCCTGGGAACCAGAGTTTGTGGGGAGGATCCGATGCCCAAGGTGAGGGTTGCCTGGCTTACCTGCGCAGGAACCTGATTGGTTAAGCAAACACCTTCCCCCACCCCTGTATTTTTAAGACCAAGGTTTGTGGTTGCAACATGCTGGTGTGTTGTTTGTTCTGGGATTAAAGGGAAAGAGATGAAAAGAAACGGGAAAGAGAGGAGGAGGGTGTTGAATCCACAAATCCAAAATCCAAATGTCAGGAGTTTGGACCTAAGTGGCGGCTTGGGTTGAAGTCTTCAGTTTGGGAAGAAGCATGTCATTTTTGCAAAATGTTACGGGTGTCTTCCACCGTCGGACCTCATGCACTAATGTCTAAGCCAGTCAGACTTTGGATTGTAAGCTGAATGGGGCAGAAACCTCTCCCTCCCTCCCTCCCTTTCTACGTTACAAACTCTCTTCTTGTTTCTGCAATCAATATTACTAGCTGTTCAGGCCCTGATCATCGGCCTCTTCTTGCGGCAAGAGCATTTGACGTATGCACCTCGCCCCAGCACTGAACGGCAGTGCCAGAAGAAGGGCCACCTTGCCCGTCTGGCCCCGTTTATTTTCCCTGCACGACTGTGTGAATTGGCCCTGGTGCAACCCATTTTTGCAGCTTGTGCGATGCGGCCTGAAGGATCAGTGCGTGTCTGAGCATGCCTGCTCGCCACATGGCTCTCCGTGAAAACATGCCTCCGCACAGGCTTTGGGCCTCTCTGTCCACAGGGAGGAAACCGTCCCCTCCCGCCCGAGTGGCCCTTCAGTTCGCTGCATGTTTGTCTGCACGGCCACCCCGATCGCGCCTGCCTTCCATCCGGCGGTTTGTTTCTGCACGCATCCTGCAGTACGGGCCACACAATTTCTCCTGCTGCCAGGGTTGTTCTGAGTGTGTGTCTTCTCGCACAAGCCAGCTTTGTGCTGTGTGTGTAAGCAAGGGTGTGCAAGCTTCAGGTTTGTGGATAGTGTTCGATGCATGCAGGTTAAACTTTGGACCAAAACCGGCCCATTTGAGGCTCTTTTCTGGCCTTCCAAAGGGCCAAATGATCTGTTTCCCGCAACACGGATCATTTGAGGGTTTGGAAGGTGCCAGTCGGATAAAATGGTTCTGATTGGTGTAGCAGAGCAAGAGCAGTTAGGAATCCTGTGCTGGCAATCCTTGACTAGCAAAGATGCTGATATTTTCTGCCAGCCCCTGAGACTTCCCTATCCTCTCTGCAGACTCCAGGATGTGCCTCTTTCTGGCAATAGTTTAGTCTTCACTTGCAATGCGAAATATTTTGGGCTGCCCTGGTCTTCAGTGGGCAACTGAGATCCATTTGCATTACCAAAGACTGGCTCCTGGTCATGAAAACTGCTAGGACAGGTTTGCTTGATAGTGATCAACACTATGGCCTGAATTTTTGGACACTTTTTGGGGACTGGATGGGGGTCTGTTACAATTTTTGGACTTATTTGGGTTCACAAGTGCTGAGCCGAGCTTTGAAGGACAGGGCATTTTAGAAGGCTCTCGTTCATAGGGAGATGACTTGACAGCACATAACCACAACATCTGAACCATGAGGACTGGAGACTTGACTTTATTTTTTAAAGATGTCCTCCATTTGAAAGGCCTTGAAGTCACACACCAACAGTGAGTACCCAGATACACTGATCACAGCCTTGCTTCTCTTTACTGATCATTCCAGCTCGCGGCCCGTCTCATCGTCCTGATGGTCCCTTGCTCATTCAGCAAGCACACTAAGAACCATGCGCAGAGTGCGTTCTCTTGCCCTGCTCAACTGGCTTTGAGGTGTCTGTGTGTCGAAGCCATCCTCCGAGGTTCTGGCCCAGAAAGCAGTACCAGAGGGAGCATGAGTCAAGCCCAGGACTTGTGCATACAAAGCACTAAGCGGGGGCCCTTCCCCTAAATGACATGCAAGATTCTAGTTCTCATGGTTTCCAAATCAAGGGCTGATTTGAATAGGAACCTGCTGAATATCCCTTTTTAAAAAGCTTTTTAGAATCGTTTTTATATGATGCGGCAATCATGTTATATTTTGGGCTTTTTACTTGTGAACTGCTCAGGAAGCTTTGCCTGTTGGGAAGCAAAGAAATGGAGTAACAGTAATTCAAGACCCTCGGCTCCATCTAGCCCGGCAGACCCTACTCCAGCCCCCGCTCCCAACCAGAGGGCCCTGGATACTTTGGACTACATTTCCCATCGTTCCAGGGAAGGTAGGTCCTGCTGGCTTGGGTGGATGAAAACTGAAGCCCAAATCATCCAGGGAAGCCCCCCAGGTTGGACAAGTTACCCCTCCCTAGCCTGCACCTGATTGCCCTCCCTTCAGACGTGCGTGCCAAAAGCTGCCGTCGGGTCACCCCTTGCAGAGGCCGAGATGGTGAGGAAAAGGGCAGCCGGAAGGGTCCAGGGGCTGGAGCAAGCCCCCTGCGGGGGGACCCGTGTCTCGCTTGGGGGAGAGGCAAGTGAGGGGAGCTGGGGCGGGACTCGGACCCTGTGTGGAGAAAGCAGCTGGGGGATCTTTCTGTCTCCCCCAGCTCTGGAAACCCGAAAGGGTCATCCCGTGGAGCTGGTTAGTGGGAGATGCAGGCGAGAGGAAGGGAGGCCTTCTTCACACGGGACCCGCTTAGACTCTGCAGTTGCCTCCGCAGGGTGCTGTGCCGGCCACCGGTCTGGACAGCGCCGGAAAGGAGGCTACCAGCCCGAAGGCCACCAGAGACGACCCCGACCGCAGGGTACTGGGAGAAGCGTGCCGGCGCGCCCGAGCCCTTATCCAGCAGGGCTCTTCTGACGTCCCTGTTGCCCCCGCCAGGAGGGGGCGCTTGGCCTCCTGAGCCCCCTCTGCGCCTGCGCCCGGCGGCGGGGTGGTCTAGTGGTCGCAGCCGCGCGCCCCTGCGCCGAAGCAGCGCCGTCTTTGCCGAGCTGCTGCTGCTGCTGCTGCTGCTGGTGCGCCCGCCTCCCGCCCGCCCTCCTGCGCGTCCCGGGCAGCCGGCTCGACCCGGCCCAGCCCGGCCCGGCCCGGCCCAGCCCAGCCCAGCCCAGCCCAGCCCAGGGCGGGGGACGCCTTCTGGTACTTATAGCGCCGTCCCGGGCAGGCTGCCCAGCGGAGCGGGAGCGCGGCGGGCGAAGGCGGAGCGTGCGCCGGGCGAGGGCGGCGAGAGGGCGGGGAGCGCGGGGAGCGCGTCCGCGCCGTCGAGCCGAAGCGCCGCGATGGAGCTGCTGCCGCCGCCGCCGCCCCTGCTGCTGCTGCTGCTGTGGGCCCCGCTGCTGGGGGTCTGGTGCGGGCTGCGCGCGGCCTCCGCCGAGCGGCACACGGTCTTCTGGAACAGCACCAACGCCAAGTGAGTGCGGCGGCGCGCCCGAGAGGGCTCCGCGCCGGGCCGGGGCGCGGGAGGGCCGCGGGCGCCCGTCGAGGGGGCTGCGGCCGGCGGGGGCGCCCGGCTCGACCTGCCCGGCTCGGCTCGGGTCGGGCTGGGGAGCAGCAGCCCGTTTCGCGAGGGGGCTCCACGGGGAGGCGTCTCCTCCGCCCTGCGGGGCGGGTTGGGGGGCGCAGGCAGCCGGTCTCGCCAGCAGCCCCCCTGGGCACGGGGCAGTGCCCCCCTTCTCGCCAAGATGATGGTGTGTGTGTGCCGGGGGGGGGCGTTCGGTCAGTAGGAGGCAGCTTTTCCTCCCCAGCGCCTTCTCCCCTTCGGCCTGGGGCGCCCCCTCCCCCGGGCCCCGGAGCGCAGTAGAAGCCCCGCCGTCCCACACTGCAGGGTGCCACTTTGGACGGGGAGTCGGGCTCCTGGTCCAGCGCGCTTTGTGGGGAGTTCCGCCCGTCCGGGGAAGACCTGCGTGCCCGCGCGCACGCACGCCATGGGGCGGGGGGGGGGGGCAGGCGCTTGGCAGCGCGTGAGGATGCCTGCGAAGAGCTTTGCTGCTCTGACTCCCAAACGTGGGGCGCGCCCTCCTGCCTTGACGCCCCTGCCTGCGTATCCCACCGTGGCGTCCGTGGACTGTGGGGCTCCGGAGGCGCGGGGAAATCAGGTGTGGGGGCGCCTTTCCCGGGGAAGAAGCGAGCCTTGGGCTGCTTTCTGAAGGCTGTCCGCCCTGCGCGCGGCCCTCGCCAAAGGGTCGGCACGGCTGGGCGGTGCTGGCTCTTTAAATCGGGTGTGAACGCACGACCCTGCATGCGTGCAAGATCCAGGCACGCCTGTCTGTCTGCACACTGTGCAGCCCTGGCCCGGGATCTCTGGGGCAGGTGACAAGAGACGGATCTCTTGGGGATCACCATCACGGCCCCCTATCCAGCCCACGTGCTGCGAAAGAGAGTTTCCTTGGCTGGCTTGTTTTGGAGGAAGGGTTTGGACGGAGGCCTTTCTGCCGTCTCCTTACGGCCTTGGCAAGAGAGGAAACAGGTTTCAGAGCAGGCGTTTGTAAACATCCAGAGCAGAGGCCTTGTCCTGGCACCCGGCCAGCTGCTGGGCTGTGAGACAAGGTGCTGAGATCCTGAGGCGGGGAATGTTTGGGCATTGCCAGGGAAGCTGGCCCTGCCTCTTCCTGCTCTCTGCTTCTCTGCGAAGATGGGTGCTGCACGTTTGGGGTGGGGCACGGGGGGGGGAGTGCCCCCTCCGGCCCCTGGCCGTGGGAATCTATTGGCAGCCAGTTGTGCAGGGTGTCATGTGCTTGAATGCCTTATGTAACCCCAGCAATGCGTATTGATCACACGCCCGGCACAGAGGAGGAAGACAGGGTCCCTGCCCCTAGGAGCTTGCAGATCAATAGTTGTGGCAGTATGTGTTGGGCAGGGCAGGCTTCTCTTCGTGCCCAGTAAGGGTGTCCCAGGTTAGGGGCAGCTTGCTTTAGAAACAGAGAAACAGAGCGAGTCAGAAGGGGTCTCCTGGGCCATCTAGTCTGACCTCCGGCACCAGCCGGCTCCGCTCACGACGTGCCCACCAGGTGGACGTCCAGCCTTTCACATGGGTTGGACTGCAAGGTCGGTGACTGCCCAGCCAGCATGGCCATTGCTGATGGGAACTGTAGTCCACCCCATCTGCAAAGTATGGAGTTGGGGAAGGGGGCTTTGGGGTCTCTTTGGTGTGAGCTCATTTAAGAGAGAAGACAAGCCCCGTGGGATCAGGCCGGGGGCACCAAGGCCAGGCTTGGGTCTGCACTGTAGCCAGCTTGTTTCCCACAGGAAAACCACAGGCAGGACGTGAATGCAACCGGATCCTCCCACCCATGTTCCCCAGCAAGTTTGGCTTCATTATAACACCGCACAGCAGGGAGACGGGTTGGGGGGGGTTGCCTCCCCTTCAGTCTGGGGCACAAACCTTAATCACCGTCTTTTCTCTGGGTGGGGTTCACAGGGATGCTTTTAACAAGCAACAAACAAAACCCAGCCAGAGGCCGGGCTGCAATTCAACAGGTGCTTCTCTGGACCCGGGCAGGGCGCAGGGTCTTCCCTTGTTAAAGGCTGCCTTGGCCGGGCAGCGGGGGGGTGGGTTGAGCCCGGCTGGGCTGCTGCTCCGGATCCGATCCGGGGATTAACGGGTTAACCTGCTCAGAGGGTTGTTTTCAAGCCGGGAAGCAAGGTGTGTGGTGGGAGGGGGCGGGGGCTGCCTTTGTTCATTCAGTTGTGTAAGAGGAGTCAGGACATCTGTGTCCTGTTGTGGAAACCTCGGCTGTTCCAGGTGGCCTCCCCTCCCACCCCCCTTCCGTGGGCCCGGCCGGCCCCCTGGCCTCTGGTCAGCCCCGGTTGCAGGACCCCCCCCCCACGGCTGCAGTCTGGGCTGGCGGGCACCCTCTCCCGCACCCACACCTGGCTCCCTGCAGATGTTTCGGGTGACAAACCCTGGCACGATTTATTATTGTGTATTATTATTGTGTGTGACGTCTCCTGGCTTCTTTCTGCTGTCAAGAAAGCAAAGGAGGCTTTGCTTTGAAGATCCGCCTCGCCATGTTTAGCCTCGCGACAGCCCTGTGAGGTGGGTTAGGCTGAGAGTCAGGGACTGGCCCAGGGTCTCCCCCAGTGAGCTTCAAGGCCCAGCGGGGACTTGAACCCGGGTCTCCCGAGTTCCAGTCCAACACTCAAACCACTGTGCCACAGCGGCTCTTTCTGGCCTTCTGCCCTACTAGCCGAGGCTGTTGGGAGTGGAAGTCCAAAATGTTTTGAGGGCGCCAGCTGCTGGACGGATGTACCGCTTAAACCTGCCATTGTGGAAGCTGTTGGATGGGACGGATAAATGGAGCCTCCGTGGCCCATGGCAGTGTGCCTGCGATGACCCCAGCCATGGTGGAAGGGGGGGTTTTTTGCCCTTGTGTCCTGTGTGGGTTTTCCTTGGAGGCATCAGATCAACTCTGGTGTGAAAGAAGGCTCTGGATCAATGGAGTTCACCTCTGATCCCTCGGGACTTTTTCTGTGGGGCTTATTCTGTGTTGGAATGGGTGTAAGAGGTAGCTAAAAAATTGCAACCTTTTTTATGCGTCTCTGAATGGATAAACTACCCCCCCCACCTACAAGGAGTTGCTCCCAAGGGGGCATAAGCAATACTCAAAGCCACCCCCCCACCAGAGACGAGCCTAAAGCATACAACTGTATTTGAAAAGTTGTTTGTTTTTTATTTGATTTGGACTTTTGCTGATATTATGTTTTTGCTGTTTACGGTGGTTATTTGTTGTCGCTCCTAATTGCTATAATTTTTCTTGTTGTTATCAACTGTTGTAATTTTGTAAGCCATCCTGGGAAGTTTTTCTCGTATAGGATAGAAATGTTTTCAATAACGCAATAGAAGACCAGCAGAAACAGCAAGCCAAACAAAAATGCAACACTGTCAATTTCAGTGTAGAAACAAGTGCATTTGTAAATAATAACATGCCTGGGTGAAAAGAGACAGATTAATTTGAGAGCCAGTGTGGCGCAGTGGTTAAGAGCGTGGGACTGGGACTCAGATGATCTGGGTTCGAGTCCCCGCTCGGCCATGGAGCCAACTGGGTGACTTTGGGCCAGTCACAGACTCTCGGCCCAGCCTACCTCACAGGGTTGTTGTTGTGGGGATAATATGGAGGAGGAGATGTAAGCTGCCTTGAGCCCTTTGTAGGAAAAAGGCAGGATATAAATCGAAAAATAAATAAATAAAATAATTTCAGGGAACGACGGTGCTGCTGGTCCACAAAGGGGAGCCACCACGGAGAAGGCCGCGGTCTGGAAGCCGCGCAGAAACAGGGTGTCGGGTTGGGTGGCCCTTTGCTTTGACCTGGCAGGGGCCACGTCTTCTGTTTGCAGCCCCCACGTAGCACTGGCTTTGCCGCAGTGGCCCAAGTGGTGAGGAGCGTTGCACTCTGTACCTGCTCAGGGGTTCCCTCAACAGTCAGTCTTGCTTGCTGGCTGAGCTGTGGCTTGAAAAACAGATGTGGGGCTTTTTGCAGCCAGGGCTCCAGCACAAAGAAGGCCCCGGGAGCGGTGAGGAGAGCGGAAGTCCTTCGGATATCAGGCACTGGGTCTTAAAACAGACCTTCTGTAGGGGACGGGATAGAAAAGCTTTTAATAAAGGAAAGGAAAGGAGAAAGGAAAGGAGAAAGGAAAGGAAAGGGAGACTTCAGATTGGATCTGCTGAGCTCTTTGGTCTGGAATGGCATCTACCCTACTTCCCCATAGGGCCGGCCTCCCGCTCCCCTTTAAATCCGTGGGGTGGAACGGATCAGCGCGCCAGCCCTGCCAAGGGGGCGAAGTGCGCGTAGGGCAGGGGGCAAGGCGGCTGGCAGGGCCCGGGGAGAGGGCCGCCGGCGCTTCCTTTCCCAGGGTCAGCTTCCTCGCTGGCCCTGGGCCTCTTCCTCCTCCCCAGGTGCTGGCCGGCGGCCAGGGGAAGGCGCCAGGGGCACGCGGGGCAGGAAGCGTTCTCCTTTTCTCGGACAAACACGCTGTTGCGATTTGTAGTCTGTGTGCATGTTTTCCCCCACAAGACCGTGTGGTTGTTTTGTTTTTGGCTGGGAACAAAACCGTCTTGGCTCGGCAGTGGACTTCTCCGAGACGACGTCTGAGGCTGAAACCAACTTTGCTGGGAGCCTCTTGGGATTGTGGGGGGGGGGGGCCTTTGTGTTGCTTTTTCTGGGGGCCACTGGATTGCTCCAGCCGGGGGGGGGGTATACGGGACCTGATGGCAAGGCAGTGGTGCTAGTTCCCTCAGCCTTCCTCAACCTGGCACCCTGAGTTTTTGGGGAGTACAACTCCCCTCATCCTTAATGGGCTGGGGGCAACGGGGTTCCAGCTCTAAAGTGTTAGGCTGGGGAAGGCATAGTTTTCTCTCTGAGACGGGGCTGAGGCCGGGGCATTTTATAGTGGCACCTTGGAAAGGTGGTGGTTGGATCTCTCGTGGCCTCGACCGCTGTGGACTGGCGCCCCTGACAGTTTCTGCCTTGCTGGTCCCTCCAGAGCAGGCATGCAGAGCCCTAGGGCCAAGGGCCCATCTGCCGGGGTGGGCGGGGCCAAAGGCAAAGGAGGTGGAGCCATATGACCAAAAATACCACTATCATATGGCTTAATGTCTTCCCTGCCAGTAGCTCAGGTTTCGGAGAGATTTCCATTTTTTTTTTTTTTAATGGGGGAGTTAAATTCAGAAATGCTCAGAAAACACTAAACCATCAGTGGATGGAGACAGGGAAAGGTTCCTGGCCATGTTTGCCTCTCCGGCCAGCAGCTTTGCACCAGTGTTCCGGCAGTGTCATGAATGGGATGAAAGGCCCATGGTCCACGGCAGAGCATCCACAGCAGCGGATGCGGGTTGCCCTTCCTGCATACAAACAAAGCTTTGGAAATGCACTGGATCCAGGCTGTCTGGTGCTGGATCATTTGCCCCAGAGGATTTCTTCATTGTTCAGTTTTCTTTTTGGGGAGTGCCGGAAGAACCCCCAACTTTGCTGTACCCCAAAACATGAGCTTGGGTGGGACAGAGACCCCCGGGGGCCACACTGGCCATAGAAGGAAGATTCCCAAATCCGTTTTACTGCCATGCCTTTATTAGACCAGTTCAAATATTACCCCACAAAAGGCACATGCTTTTGAGATCTGCAGATCTTTCCAGCTGGGAAAATGTTTCTAACCCCAGGCTGATTTCTCTGGTCCGTCTGTCCATCTGCAGACTTGCTCTTAAGATGATAAAAGCATCTGGATCTATGGGAGGAACTCTTTGCCTGGTTCTCTCTCCTTCTCAAGAGCCGGATGACTTCTCAGCTCAGCCAGCTGCTTCTGCATTCAGGGCTCTGCTCTCCAGGTGACCTTTGATGGAGAGAGCAAGATCCTGCCCCCGGGGCGCAGCAGGGGCCCACCATGGCTGCTTGGCCTGCTGGCACAGACGGCGATAAGATGGTTTTACTGCCTCTTGCCAAGGATTTTGGCACCCTGCGCGGGTGGCCAGACCGGTTTGTGCTCTCCAGCGCTCCGTTCCCAGCTCAGGGAGGAGCCGATTCCCAGCCGGCTTGGTAAACCTTTAATAACTGCTGTGGCTGAGCGCTGGGAACGTAAGCCATGTGGGAACCCCTCCACGCTCGCTCGGGGGGTGGCCGAGGGACGGCCTTCCCAAAGGCGGGTTCTGGGTTGCACACCCCTGGCTGTTGCCTCTTGGGGCTCCCCAAATCCCGAGGGGCCCGGCCTGAACTTCTCTTTTCCTGTATACCTACTGGTGCCAATGGGAGGGCTGTATTCCCCCACCTATTCCCCCCAAAGCACCCCATAATAATTCGCTTCACTCTGGCCAGCATGCCCAATGGGGAAGCATGGTGGTGTAGTCTTGGAGGGCCCCATTTCACAGTTTTTAGGTACCCCAGATCCCCCCACTTGGCCTCCCATGAATGGTCAGCCCTGCTTGGGTTTGCTGCATGTACAGGGATACTTTGGGGCAGTTGGAGGAATGGGGTGCTCACAGAAGCACCCCCTTTTAGGGCCAAGCTGGTTCCCACCCATCCGGAAGGCTTACCTGTTTCATCAGAAAGTCTTTGAAAGTCCTTCCAGTATGATATTTCTTGGCTTAACAAAGACTGAAAACGTCTTTCCATATTTCCAGACCTGATCCTTTCATAGATCCTAAATGTATTTTTGAAGAGGGAAGAAACATCGGGTGCAGGGTTTTCTGGTGGGCTGTTTAATCTGCTTCTGGAAGAGGTTTGGGAAGGTCTCTGTTTTTTTTTTAATCCTTAATTAGGAAGCACCAGGTATATTTAAATGAAGTGTCAAGAGATCAAAGATACTCTTTCAGGGATACAGAATCTCTTCCAGTTCCAGGCCTGAATCCCATTTTGGATCTTGGGGTCCATATTCCAGGGAAGGGCAAGGCCAAACACGGGATCAGGATATGAAGTGCTGGGTTTCAGTTTGGGGTTGTGACTGGGAAAATAGCTGGTGATCACATGCCAATATTTAATCCCTATTTTACTGCTTTTTCGCACAACCGCCTTGGTGACTCAAAAAAGTTCCAGAGTTAGTAGAGTGGCCAGCCTTGACCATCGCTTGCTTAATTTCTGCAATTTTTTGTTTGGGTTTGTTTTCCTATTTTTGTTTAACACACATTCCGCCTGAAGGTTTCCCGAGGCAGCTGACAGCAGCAATAAAAATGCCAGTAACACAATAATATAATGGAGTAAATTGTATGGATTTCCCAGGATCTCAAAGCACCAGTGGAAAGGTGTTTGTCTGAATCGCATTCACTGCTAACGCAAGTCCTTTCTCTGGCAGCAAAGTGATGAAGAAACCCAGCCTCAAAGTCCTGGGTTCAAATCTCCGCTTTGCCATTATCTGCTTCAGAATTCTCCCATCTGCGGGATAAATAGGACGGTTTGAAAGTTTTTTGTTCTAATGCATCCTGGATTGATCCTAAAGGCCATTTCTTCTCCGTGGCTTAGGTTTCAGAAGGATAATTATGCCATTGAAGTGCGTTTGAATGACTACCTGGACATTATCTGCCCTCACTATGAGGAGGAAGGTGTCCCTCCGCACACCATGGAACGCTACACCTTGTACCTGGTGGAGCAAGAGGAATACGAGACGTGTAAACCTCATTCCAAGGAGCAAATCCGCTGGGAATGCAACCGGCCGGACGCCCTGCATGGCCCTGAGCGCTTCTCGGAGAAATTCCAGCGCTTCACGCCCTTCACACTTGGGAAGGAGTTTCGGGAAGGTCATGAATACTATTATATCTGTAAGTATCCCTGATTTGTTCCTTTATTGGCAGTATTTGTGTATCTAAACAGATTCTGGAGAGGGGATTGATTAAAAAGGGAAAACGGAGGAAAGAATACAAAGAAAGCATGAAAAAAAGGAGAATGTGAATATCAGAGCTGACCAGAAGAAAGGCTTGCTGGAATGGAGGAGTTTTCACCAGGTGCTGAAAACAACCAAAGTCTATGCCTGCCTGACCTCCAGAGGCAGGGAGTTTCTGAGAAATGGGGCCACCGCGGTGAAGGCCCTGCTCCTGGTAGACCCCCACTTGGGCCAAGGGCCATGCAGAACTACCAGAAGCTCCTACGAAGACTTGGCTGACCAGGCAGGTTGGTAAAGGAGAAGGCGCTTTTTTGGGGATCCTGGTCCCAAGCTGTTTAATGCCTTGTAGATTAATTCCAGAGGCTTAAACCAGGAGCAATAGGCAGCCAGTGTTGCTATTTGAACCCGAGTTGTTTGAACCTCAGGATGCGGGCCCAGTCCTGCTTGCTTGGAATCTCAGTTCGGCCTTCCACAGCTCTCCAGATGGCCATGTTTTTCTGGGTTTTATCCCACTTTCTCCCAACCACAGAACTTTTAGGAAATTGTTGACTTCTGCACACCCCACCCCTGAGAAGCCTCTCCCAAGGGTTAGTTCCTGGGTTAAGTTCATTTTTGAAAAAAAAAATCTTTGTGGCAACAGGCTAAAATCTTCTTATTTTCCCAATATTTTATTTATTTATTAGTTTGTTTTATTTATAACATTTGTGTGCCATCCAATTACTTGCATCTCTGATTGATTTTAAGGTTTGATTGGCATTTTAATATGGTTTTATTGCTAGAAAACAATTAGGATGCTGCGTTTTATTTTGTTTCATTCTGCTTTACTGTTAAAGCGTCCAGAGACCTTGGTAGTGGACGGTATTAACAAAGTTTTAAATAAATAAAATAAGTCAGTAGTTTGGAGATGTTGCCCGCATCCTTCTTGCCCACCACTGGAATGCAGCCCCTGAGAGCTCTTCCTAAGGTGACCTCAGACCTCAAACTGAAAGACATTTGTTGCCCCAACTTTAAGCCCATTTTACAGATGGGGTAAAAGATGACTGAGAGAAAGAGGGAGAGAGGCTGCTCTGAAACTATACAATGAAGCAGAGAGGTTGGATTGAAACCCTGATCCCAGCTTGCTTCTGGCCAGCGTCCACTCATGGACCTGAATGGTTTCTGTTAATGATGTATTTTAATGAGCTCCTGGTTATTTATTTATTTAAAACATTTGTATGGCAACTAATTGTGCCACAGCACCCCTGGGCGGCTCACAATTACAAGATAAAAACACAACAACAACACCTTAAAATAAAACAGCCATGAAATAAAAGCAGAGATACAAAACTAAGTTCATATGGCATTAGTTATTAAAATATAGGTGTTTGGTGCTTGAAATCTAGGAGGGACCCAGACTAGGATATTGCCAATTTTCCCAGCCTTAGTGAAGAATACACCCACTGCTGCCAAGCTGCATTTCTGAGTGGCTTCAACCAGCAGCACTGAGTTCCATCAGTGTAATAATGCGTTGCAAAGCTCTAAATTAAAATCCGTTTAAAAGCTCCCCGTCCTGTTCGATGCAACTGAACCAGAAAGGCAGGGGAGGCCCCACCTTTCTCGCCCAAACCTTCTCGCCCTCCCTGCAGTTCTAACGAAAGCTCTTTTTCTCTCCTCTCTCCCTTCATTAGCAAAACCGATCCATCATCATGGAGACAGCTGCCTCAGACTGAAGGTGCTGGTGGCGGGGAAAAATGGTGAGCGTCGAGGGCCTGACCCACAACTTTCCGTCTCCCTTGCCCCACATGTCCCTGTCTTTCTCTCTCCCCGACTTGTTCGGTGCCCCAGGAAAAATGATTTTTGAGGACTGGTTGCAGGAGCCCCAGCTGCCTCGGTGCACCCGCAGAGGGCTCGGGACTTTAGTTTTTAGAAGCCACAGGCAGATGAGTGAGAATGTGAAGGGATTAAACTTCTCTGCCATGCAATTTTCTAAGCAAAGTCCCTTCTCTTCAGCTCTACACAATAAGTATCTGCTGTGACCCTACAACATCCCTGCTAGGTTGACCATTAGCATTGCCCACACATGCAAATCCACCTTTGTGTGTGTATCTTAGGCTGAGAAAGCACAGAAGCAAAGATTCACGGAACAGTACAGTTGGAAGGGGCCATGAAGGCCATCCAGTCTGACCCCCTGCTGTTGCAGGACTCGGGTTGCCCCCTCCCACTCAGACGGCTGTCCAGTGTGGCCTCGAATGTCTCTAGTGTGGGAGGGCGTCCTTGTGCAGAGTTTTGAGCTGGGGTGTGGGAGCCCTGAGCCCAGGGGGTGGGCTTGGGCAAGTGGGAGCGTCCAGAAGTCTGTCCTCACATGCATCTCCATTCACTTTTAGTTCAGATGCCTCCTGGCCACGGTCCCACACAGAAGGGGCGTCTCCAGTCAGGTAGGTCCTCGAGGAGCTGGGGGAGCGCTCTGGGGCGGATGCAGCGATGGGGCAGCGTGGGAGTGTCAGGGAGGGACAGCAGTGGGTTGGACTCCCCATGCCGCCAGCCCCGGGGGTGCTTGCAGCTGTGCGGGGACATGGCACCGGGGCGTTTCCAGAACGGGAACGCTGCCGTCTTCTGCAGTTCCTTTCCCAAGTTTCTGAACTCATGATCCCCCCCAGACTTTGCTGCGTAGCTTTTGGGGTGCAGTGGGGCAGAGAATCTTCCTCGCCCCAACCTGACGTTCCTGGTCTCTGGGGTGCCTCAGTGCTTGGGCCCCCTTACTCTGCCCAAGACCCGTGGCTGGTGGGGAGGATCGATCCCAGGAGGGCTGTCTTGGCGTGGAACAGTTTGGCTGCTGCCTTTTCATACTCTTCTTGGGTGTGTGGTGCCAGGGATGGCTTCCCTGCTGCGGCCCCGGTTCCTTCCCAGCCGCCTCTCGCGTGCTTCCCCTGGAAAAGTGGGGCGGCCTCGTGACCCTCTTGTGCGATTCTCTTCTCCTCAGATGACCCCGATGCCCCGATGCTGCGCAGCGTGGGGCAGAATTCGGCCCCCCGGCCGTGCAGCCCCTTCACCTTCGTCAGCCTCTTGCTCCCGCTGCTTATGGCCCACGGACCCTGACAGAGCCCTGCCCTGTGACTGGCCTACCCAGGACTGAGCTGCGAGCGAGTGGGAACGGGCCTCCTGCCAGCCCCGGCGAGTGCTGCGAGCCATGCACCTAGTCCTCTCCGAGAAGCTGCGGACTGGCCAGCATCAGCGGGACGGACGCCCGTGGCCTGTATGGTCGGTGGAGGTGCTGAGTGGAGCGACGTGGCAGAGAGCCCCTGGACGACCGTGGACTTGATGGGGCTTCCGTTTGACTCGCTGGTGAAGAGGAGGCGGCGCTGGCTGGGCCCAGCGGGGCGGGAGAGGCGTGGACTGGTGCCACGGCGGCAGAGCCTGCGGCCCCTTGGGTGGCACAGGACTATGGCGTCACTCCCGTTCTGCCGGCCCCCTTGGACTGTGTACAGTGTGAATAATTTATCGGACAATAAACAGGCGGGACCTGGATTTGAGGGAAGCTGCTCTGCTTGTGCGCCCCTTTCCGAATCCCCCGATTCTCTCTCCCGCTCCCTTTGGCTAAAGCGCAGGGCATCTCCGCTTTAGATGCAAACAAGGAGCCAGACGGCTCCGAACCTGTCAGACCAACCCACATGTCCTTCTCACCCAGTATCCTGCTTCTGACGGAGGTCAGCCAGAAGCGTTCGGGAAGCTTGCCAGCCAGACAGGCAGGCAGGCGATGTCTCATTTTCCCCTCCACTTAGACCCGTAGGTGTTTTGGATGACTGTTCACACAACCCCTTACAATGGGCCATGCTAACTGGGATTGATAGGAGTTGTAGTCCCTACCATATGGAGGCTGCCAGGCAGCGACATCTCCATTCTCCTAAAATGTTCAAGCCCAGAATCTTCCTGAGTTCCTGAAACTGGGCCTTCTCCTCTCCAGGCTGGGGTTTTCTATTTCTTAACCTGTTCCTAATTTTTTTCCAATGGGACATCTATGGAGAACAGAAGGGGATGCCCTTGCTATTGCGTCACAGAAACAGAGGATGGATTGATGACAAAAGGACCAAAAGAAAAAAAAATATTAAGAGGAGAGAGGAGATCATTCTTAAAGCTTTATATTGCTGGATGTTTTTTATACAGAATAAATAATCCAAAATGAACTTCTTGTGTTGCCGCAGTGCAGCCTCTGATCTGTGTAGCCTGATGAGTCTCCTGAGCACCTGAGGTGTCAGGGCGGAGCCTGGGCATTGGAGGGCGGTGCTTGTTCTATTCGGGGCGGAGCCTGGGAGATGGGGTGGAGCCTCATGGCAGCCAGTGGACTGGGGAGGAGTCCTGCTGGGCCAGGGGGCTGAGTTAATGGCAGAGTCTCCTCCAGGCTGGCCACCCGGACCTTTGCTGCTCTTCCTGGAGACCCAGAGATGGAGGTGAGTTGAAGTCCAGCAGGGCTTGAGCCCCAAACTCTGCCTGGGGTGCTTGCTGCAATAAAGGTACAGGAGCACCCAGCAGTCCTGGATTTGCTGGTTTGGGCCCATGCGAGTTTCCCCTCCTTTGAACCCTCTTAGCAGTGCCAGAGTAGTTGCTTTGAAGATACTTTAGGGAGCAGAAAATTGTCCAAGAAAAACTTATTTTTCTGCCTGCATGCTACAGGTGCTTCCATTTTGTATTGCTGTAGGCTCTTAATTAATGTTTCAGGATTTAGCATTCACTCTCCTTGTAGCAGGAGTGGTGCTCTTTCCATTGTACAGATGGGAGGCAGAGTGAATGAGTATCAGCGCTGGCAGAAACAGGTTTGAACCCATACCTTTGTTCGGTCTATGTCTGCTGAACTGCTCCAGCAAGGGCGGGTCTGTATGTGCCACAATTCCTCGCAAGCATCAAAGAGTACCATGTAACAAAATCCAGCTTTTGAGAAATCTTTGTCTTCTCTGTAAACAGACTCAAACAAGGTTCTAGTCCTTAAGCATTGCACAAATAGTTAAAAGCTAGAAACCAGAGCATAGGAATTCTGGTGTGTGTGTTTGTTTTCTCCTCCTCCTGAGGAGCATAATAAAAGCACAATGATGTCTACTCAGAGGTAAGTTCAGTGGGGCTTGCTCCCAGGTGAGTTTGCATGAGATTGCAACCTAGATGAACTGGAAAAGTCCGTGTTGCAAAAATAGAAGACAGAGAAATATGCAGTTTTGTGAGGTTCAGCTGCAAAATTTGGGTTAGCCTGGCTGCAGGATTTGCCTTTTTCTTTTATAAAGCACACATTGCATTGTTTCATAATAGCTTTTTAAGAAGGTCAGCCATGTGCCTGGTGTTTGATACCATAATTAACAAGAAAATAGCTCTCTGCTCCATGAAGCTTACATTCCACAGCTTGCCCCAGTGAAGCCAACTGGGAAGAACCGAGGTGTGGATAAGGCCCCAGTTCCCCCCGAAAGGTTCTTATTTCCAGTGTTTGTATTGTCCACCCCACCCATAACAAAAGTTCTCTTGGTGGCTTAGCGGAAGCAAACAGAAAAACAATGGAAGCGCAAAATGAGGCAATAAAACCAAAAATCCAGGCTTAAGTTTCAGTGGGGAATTAGGACTAAAAGCTTGTTCCCAGAGCTTTGCAGCAAGACTGGAGTTTGGAGGAGGGATTTGAAGACAGAGAAGCAACGTCATGGAGGTGTTTTGGGGAAGGATTATGGCACTCTGGTTGTCTGCCATGTACTGTTCAGGGAAATCTCCCCAAAACACTCAAAGACTCTTAAATTGGCTTGTTGATGCCGACAGAATGATGTGTCGGTGGGGTTTATCCGCCAGGGACTAGTCATGGAAGCAATTTGGTTGTATGGACATGTTTTGCCGCTGCCGTACGCTTGGAGACGGGGGAAAATGACCCAGCCTGACTCAGCAGAACTTCTGCGGTCTGTGTCAAAAGCCGGGCTTTGGGGTCACGACTTTCCCCTGTTCGTGTGTTTCTGCGGTTTGCCTTGGTTGCTGGAAGAGGCTCTCTGCAGTGTCAGGGTGTTTTTCGTGGGCCAGGATAGGCCAGGGTGCCTGGGCTTGTGGTCGCCAAGTGGCTGAGTTTAAATCTTCTAATTGCTTTACCTCTGGGCGAAGCTGGCATTGATGTTGATGGATGTCGGGGAAAAAGTGGTGTTGAATGTCATGCGTTGGAGAATATTTATTTATTTATATTTTTCGATGTATATCCTGCCTTTTTGCTGCAAAGGGCTCAAGGCAGCTTACACCTCCTCCTCCATCTTATCCCCACAACAGTAATCCTGTGAGGTAGGTTGGGCTGAGAGGCTGTGACTGGCCCAAAGTCACCCAGTTGGCGCCATGGCTGAGCGGGGACTAGAACCCGGATCACCTGAGTCCCAGTCTCAGGCTCTTAACCACTATGCCACACTGCCTCTCACAGGATAAGCACCCCCAACTCTAATTTTGCCCACAGAGCCACATCTGGACTAAGCCCTGCACATCTGTTTGGACTTGTGAGGCTCTGGAGCAGGTGAGCTAACCTTGATCCTGTGGGGACCACGTGGCCAAGCCATGGAGACCCCCTATAGACCCCAAAGGGAATAGGAGTTTCCAATATCCTTCCCAGGGACTGGCAGGCAGTACGAAGCTGCGGGATTGTCCAGGACTGCCCGTAAATACCAGTGAGGTGACAGCAAAGCTTATTTTATTTGTAAATGCGCAGCTGCCTTGCAGCTCGTAAATTTTTTTAAGTCAAAACAGTTTGGAAACTTTCGAAATGATGAAAGTGTGTGTATTTATACACAGAGACATAGACACAATTGTGTATGGCTCAGTGTTTCCCTTTATTTGGGAAACATTTGAAGGAACAATCTTGTGCATGAAAACAGCTGCGGAATAAAATATCAACAGCGCAAAGCTATGCAAACTTTGATAGGAACAAAATCATGTACCAGCGATTTCTCAACATAAGTAGGACTGTGCCAAATGTCCAGTATATAGGACAAAGTTCTCTGCAGACCGCGGCGTATGGAAATATAACAATGAAGAGCAGTGTTCCCATAATATACAACATAAACACACATTTACAAACAATGCCTACCACAAGCTTCTCTCCCTTTTGGGGGAAAGAAAGCCGCAATAGGATTGCGTAAGCAGAGGGAAGTGAAATACAATGAAAGACCCAAAAGGCAGATGCAATGTGACAGTTTTGTTTAAGCTTGAATCTGTGCAAAGGAAACACAGTAACCATGTGCCACCCCATGGGGGGCTGCAAATTAAATGCCTTTTACCCTACTGAGTAAGCAGGGAAAGGGTGGGGGAAATTGGTGGAAGGAAGGCACGATCATTCTAGTCCACATGATGCACCGAAAATTCTCCCCCTTTTAATGGCTTTATTGTACTATTTCTTCAATTTCTGCCCCATCTTTTGTCCTCCTTTGGAGAATCTGTGGAAGCTGGCATAATTTTCACAACAACCCTGTAGGGAGGCCATGCAGAATTCAGAGTCTGACCCAAAGTCACCTAGGGAGCTTTGTGGCTAAGCAGGGTCTAGAATCCCGGTCTCCCAAGTCCTAGTCCAGTGCTCTAACCATTAGGCTACACTGGCTTATTGAAAGAGGATTTCCCCCACCAATCTTTTCTGATGAGGAAATGGCTGGAACAGATGGAGGCCAGTTCTGGCTCTGCTGGCAACATCCATTTTCACTTCCTAGCAGCCTGTAATATTCTCTCCACCACCGTTGCCACAGTGTGACCTTCTGAGGTTTAAGCATCCCTGACCTTCCTTGCCGTGGCCTCCGGGGCCTTTTTGATTAGTTAATTAATTAACTGGCATTACAATGGAAGGAAAATTACAGGGTGGGGGACAGATTGAGCAAAGCGGGTGATGGGATGGAGGAAAGTAAAGTAATGGATATTGAATAGCCCCTAAGCTTGGTTTGTCCAGAAAAAATGAGCAACGAAAACATTAAAAAGGTCAAGTGCCGTGGGCAACAGCCTAATTTGGACTTAATCTGAGACTTGGGGGAGTGGAAAGCACAATCAACCCATTTGGGTTTCCCTGACTGCTAAACTTGCCCATTAGCTATGTTTAAAAATCCTCAAAAATTCTCTTATTGAGAATGACACCCCGCTAGATTATATTTTATTTGACTGTGCTGTCAGTGAAGAGCCACGAGCGCAGTAAAACTAGAATGTGTTATTCTGTTTACTATGTGATTGTGCTTGGCCTGAAGTCCTTGTTTTTTTACTTATCGTAGGGTTTTAATTATTAAATAATTATTAAACACACGAGTCAGCCTATAGCTCAAGCTGTAGGTGATGTACATAATAAAAGCAAAAAACAGTAAAGCCAGTGATAAAAACCAATAAGAAAACACATTTTTTAAAAGAATGACCTATTTTAAAAGAACTGGTAATAAAAATCAATAATAAAACACATTATCTTTATAGCAGCAACAAAAATCCGGCACTTTAAAGAGATGGAGATAAAAACAAAGAAGTAGCTTTTAAAATGCAATTGGAGATGTATTGAAAATAATCCAAGCAGCATTTAAAACAACCTTGGAGAATAACATTTGCTGCTCATCTCTGTCACCATCACATAGAGGTTCGATCCAAAAGGAGGTTGCACTTTACCCAGGAAATAAATGTTGTTAAACTGTGGAACTCACAGCCTCAAGATGCCCCCAATGTAGATGCTTGTAAAAGAGGATAAAACGCATTTGTAGCAGATAGGTTTTACTTATTTGCAGGTATCTAAACCACCTTTCTTGATTTAAAGCCATCACAAGATTTGTATACAGAGAGGAATAATAAAAATATACTCTCGCAATTCTCGTTAATTGTTTGTGTAATATATTTCTTAGCCCAGCTGTCAAATCTTTTCAAGGTGGCTTACAACATAAAAAGTAAATCTCCATACCAAATTGGAAAAGCCTCTTAAAGGTAAACCATTTAAAATCAGACAGGGAAAATAGAACGCATTTTTGAATATTTGAGAACAGGAAATACCATTATTATATGTTTTTCGATGCCAGGCCAAGACTTTTTTATTTAAACGGCATTTTAATTGTTAGCTTATTTATTGATTTTATATCTTTGGCCAGGGTGTTTCCAATTATATTGTTTTTATATGAATATATGTATTTATTTATTGTTGTAAGCCACCCCGAGGCTTCAGCAAATGGGGCGGCATAGAAGT